GTAGCTCATTTTGTAGTATTTTGATCTATAGTGTGTTAGCGATTCACTATCCTCAAGAGAAATATGTGTAAGTGTGAGTGTAAGTGTAGGTGTGAGTGTAAGTGTAGGTGTGAGTGTAAGTGTAGGTGTGAGTGTAAGTGTAGGTGTGAGTGTAAGTGTAACAGTAAGGGGTGTACGAAAGGATGTCTAAGGAAAGAATAGTGCATAAGAAAGATCAGATCAACACATGTAAGGGTAAACTTACCGGGAGTAGACTGAGCGGGGCCTGGGGAAGTAAAAAATTGGGGGGGGGGCAGCGGGCTACTTATACCCCTCCGCCGCCAAGAGCACGGGGACAGATCCCACGTGAAGATAGACTATAGAAACTTCCGGGTTGCAGCGATAATGATAGAGCTGCAAGAGGTTCGTGCAAGGTGAGTATGAGGTGAGGAGTTATAGATTGTACCTCTCTTCTCTTGGCAGCCACGCTACACGTAAGGATGGGTCGGAGAGTCAGTCCTGAGAATTCCGCCATTGGCTATAGAAGTTAGAAAACTATCCAGACTAATATTTTGCACGTAGTTCTGTAGAACCAATTGGCTTTTGTCATATCCAACTTATATATTCAAAATAACCTAGCACTATGTCAATTCGTAGACTTGCAGAACAGTGGGCTCAATTCCTTCTCTTCTCCTTGGCGAGACAGGAATGATGGCTTTAAACTGCTGATTTTGATTGATACTAATTAGAGAAATTCAGGATATCATTGCAATTAAACACTTGAAAATCTAGTGCAGGTGGAAAACTGAATCTAAAACTCAAACCCGGAATAGGAGGTGACTGATACAGTGTGGTGACTGACACCGTGTAGTGACTATGCTCTATGTTTAAGCTTCATATGCCTTCAATGATATGGTAAACTACACAGGTTTTGCCTTTGCCAAAGGTCACAGTTCTCACCGTATGGGGTGGAGGCAACTTTTGCGTACGATCATACCATACCATGTTATCATCCAGGCCCAGCTATATGGCGCGTCAAAACCGCGTTATCCTGCCTACAGTTCAACGCTGCAAGGACGCGTAGAAGTCGCGTTCTCCCTCGTGGCTTTTCGTGTTTTTTTTCGTGTTTTTTTCGTGTCGTGGATACGCGTCGTGACTGACGATGTCTCACACGAGGCGATTTAGCCAAGAGTCAATATATCTCTGTATTTGAAGCTTATTCTCTGCTTCCCGTGCATTTCGCACACACCCAATCGCTGTTTCGTTTTCGAAATTACCTTGTTGTACATTACGATTTCCTTGTTTTCCTTTTTCTTGCCATTTTCAAATATGGCTCGCAAAAAGTCGAAAGCACAGAAGACGTTTGAGAGAGAGAGGGCGGAGGTCTCACATATCATCCTTGATCGGGGCGAGACTTTGCCAGGAAGTATCATATCAGCACAAATCATGTTTCAGAATATTGCTAATGTGTTGCTCTTGAACAGTCGGCGTGATAGATGAAGCCTGGCTTCAAAGGTGGAAAGCCAATGAAGCACGAAAGGTGGAATTCAAGCAGATTCTGATTGACAGATGTGAACCGCTACCCGAGGGCGGCATTACTGACACCTGGTTGCACACCTGGGAGACGATAGAGGCGACTCGGATCCTACAAGAACAGGGAAAGGCGCCACCAGCAGATGACATGACTCCTGACTGGCTACTGCGTTTCAAAGCAGACCAAAAGGCCGCTGAAGCTGAAGTGCGGCCTAGGACTGCTAAGCGTAAAGCAGATTCAGATGCTGAACAAGCAAGGAAGGAGGAGCTCCGAGCTGAAAAGGAGCACTCCAAGCGCGTGAAGTTAGCGGAAGCTGAATCGCTGATGCGGCTCGCAATACCGGAGGAGGCAGAAGAAGAGACAGAAGAGAATTCTTATGCTAATCCAAGAGCCTTCACAGATGACGACGACTGGATGGTGGACGACGACGATAATGACGACGCCATCAATGCCATACAATCGACGTTCGAGGAGACCAACACTTCTCAAGACACAGAAGAGACCGAGATGCAACAATCTTCGGTCGATAATTCAGCCAAAAAGAAGAGGTATTATCCAAGGCTTCTCGGCTTCAAGAGAAAGGGCAATGCAAGAAAAAACGCTGCAAAACTCCAGGCCATGAACGCCCTCCCTGGCCATGAGAGTGAGATTTTCGAAGAGACGGGAGTCCACCTCAAGGATGAGGATCAAATCCTCGGCGAAGAAGAAAAGAAGGCGACTGTCGAGAACATGCCTCCGAAATACAGGATGGATTCGGATCCGCGGCTGGGAGAGCTTGAAGTCGACACAACTTCGCATATCCAAGAGGGAGAACGACACGACCGTTTCGTAGAGACTGCTCGTAAAATCGTCAGCTTTTTGAAGTCCTCGGCTTCTACATATCGAAATCTTCCTAGAGAAGCCAAGAAAACAACCTGGAAGCCCATGGTGTCTGGGTTACTCACACTGATGTGCCGAGCATCCGAAGATTTTTTACTGGAGAATCTCCTAAGCGGAATTGACAACTCGGTTCGTTTCACTCTTGGGAATCTGGACTTCACGCTCGACGATCTGGTAAACCTCCCACGATGGTCGGTCACGAAGAACCTTGAAAAAGGTGTTTATGTCGACATCTTACATATCAAGGAAGAACTCGAGCAAATCCGACAGCTCTACGTAGGTTCCGCTACAGGAAAATTTGGGATCGCTCAACGATGGTACCAATATCTGCAACGGCGAGTAAAGCACGAGTATGGCAGACACTCCAAGGCTATCCTAAAGCCCAATTTGACTGTGTGCCTTCGCGGCCTTGCACAATATGACGATACGCGATACCCGTGGTTAGTATGCTTTGCTGAGACTTTTTTCATGGTCTACCTCGGTACTGTTACGGATCCTGGTTGGCGTCCTACCACAGGTGATATCAGGGAAGCCTTCATCAACGACGAACTCTATGAGCTTGTCGGAGCATGTAGACGCGCTGCAGGCCTACCAGCCCCTCTTTCAGTCGGACTCAACTCAACATGGTCCCTCTGCCAAGGATATCGCGGAGGATTGAACATCAACTCCGCTTGTTTCAATTGCGAGAGGAAGGTAGTACCAAGAACCCATCCGGATTGGGAACCCGAAGCTTTTATATCCCGCGATCCCGAACGTCCCGGAGAAAACGTGGAGTGCTATAACTGCGTCATCTACCGCAGAAAGTATGGGGCCAATCGCAACCCGTCTGCTGAGAAAAGGCTTGCTTTCCGGAGAACGACGCCAGTCCCAAAGGTTTGCCAGGCCTGGAAGTGTAAACACAAGCTGATACCTTATGGGGAGATGATTGATTTTTACCTAAAAAACTATAAATATGGTGGAAGTCGGGTAAACCAATGTCCATCAACTGGAAGGTGGGTGGCAAAGGTCTTTCAGCACGACGAGATTCACCTTGGTAAGTACTATTGGGTGTGTGATGATTGCTCACGCTTTCAAATGGGCTGGAAATTCTACTTTGATAATAGGAAGAAACTTTCAGGAAAACCGGAAGTCGCATCCCCCACTCCTCAGCAATGAGCTCACCCGAATCCCACGCAAATGTCCTGGAACGGTGTTGAGATACGTGGTGAGTTGAGTATCATCCCACGATACACATACCTTCTTCTGTCGGTAGTGCGCAGGCGTATAGCCGGCTCTGATGCTGACAAACCTGGTAACTCACATTACCATTAGATTTCTGCGAAAGCTGGCGACGCCTGTTAACCACTTTCCCGAAGTCACTTACTAACCAGTAGATCTTGCGGTCCTTGCTCCGCGATAGCTGAACTCGAGACGGGATCTTGTATACCGCTCGCAAAGTGCAGGCCGTTCAGTAGACGCCTTTGGTGAGGGTCGGCGTAAAACCCGCCCTCGAAAGTAAAGATCGGATGTCTCTGACAACCGCTCTTGGAGAAGTGGCTTAAATGCCACACTCCGCTACCATCGACTTAGATACCGTAGCAGTGCTTTCCATCGAAATTTCCGGCTTGCTGGTGTTTCGAGGGAGAGAAAGGGGATGCCCGCGTATGGAGGGAATGCTTGTTGAGTGACCTTATAGAGGACCTGGCATCGGAGAGTGTGCACTATGCGACGTATGACAACAAAGCAACGGCGATAGCTAACCGATAGCTTTCGGCTGGCTGAGAGAAGGCTGATCTATATCCGAAGACTGAGGAAGTACTCCTGTCGGTAGTCCCATGACTTGTGAATTAGCGTGCTCCCTAATACTTGCTTCACGGCTCGTAAGCTGTTGCCTTCGTGAACCTTTGACTTCGGTGATGAGGCTATACAGATCTTTAGACCTCCGACCTCCGACCTCATCCAAGTTAACATGGCATTGGAAACTAGCTCCTCGTGCCCCACGAATATACGGTATACCTATGCACGTGTGTAGCGCTAGTGGAAAACAACCTGTATTCTTTTTTTTCTAGTCTCAATGAAACGATCACCAGGGTAAATGTTGATGAGAGCAGCAACTTGCAGACTACCCAACAGAAGTTGGTATTAAGTGAGCTGATAGAAGCTCTACGAAGGTGGCGAAGTATGAGAATTCTATCCATACTTTTAGTGCTCCCTAAAACAAAGAGTATATCGCTCGAACAACACCACAACGATCAACCATGCACGAGTAAACTTTGTCACTTACGGCTTAGGAACGACATACATTGTGATCCGTATACGGATACTCATATAGAGATACTACGCAAAAAAACTAGTGTTTGTTTTAAATATCTCTTAGAACGGCGAGTGTCTAGAACTAATCTGTAAACCACCCGAGAGAGGAACGTAGTATAGAATACATGTTACTCTTTCTACTTCCTACTGCACGTAGTTATTGCTCTAGCTACTATAGTAACTCCACACATCCATTCCTATGACTGCTAGCTGCGGTATCAACTCTCACACCATCTCGAACAGTGAACATCCTAATGTTGTTTCAATTCTCACCAACTTCTCCGCCACTACTCTATTAATTAATTGATCGCTCCATTAATGAGGTTTGTTATATATAAAATACCTCTTAGGGCCCATTGGGACGAGCGCAGCAATATTCGCACCCACCAAACATATGCACCATGTACCATCACTCTTATCACTTCACTCTGATGTTTAATTACGAAATACTGATCTTATGCCCACACCCTTATAAACCTAGCAGCATGAGAGGATACGTTGAACACACTACTACAGTCTCAAGTCTTTACTAGCTATTAACAGCGCACGAAGAGGGGTGTAAAGATATCGCTCTCCGTCCATGCGGCAGTGATGAGCTATGTTTGGCATGTCGAGAACATCACATGAGCCCGCTCGAACAATGAGACCTGTGTCCATACCACCTGCCATATCTCGAGTAGATGATCTAATTAGTTGCGTATCTTTTCCTAAACGCTTGCTTATCAAACTCAGCTTTTGAGCGCGAATTTGAAAGCCATGATATCCTGAAGGGTCACGTAGCAGTTTGTGCATAGTACTCCGCGTCACGCAATACCATACTAGACAACAGCAAAATTCCAACCACGCGATCCAAACGTCCCCCGTGGCTTATTGCCTTCTGACTTATACTTCGTTTGCAAGAGCGAATACCATTGAAACGTTTGGATAGCCTCATATTGCTTGGAAGTAGTGGTATTGGGGTAAACCACCTTGAGGACCTGCACGCAGAGCAGTGAGAAACTGGGTCACAGTCCTTACGCTGAGACCTTGCCAACCATGGTTACTGACCTTGGTAACCATGTATCGTGTGCAAACAAATATGCACACGGCCTACGTGCTTTCCAACACTGGCATATTCTTTGCTCCGTGCTCAACTCGAGGAAAAATCTGCAAATTGCAAACAACGTAATTAGTGGGCCAAACCAATAAGAATATCCACTGTGCTCGGCCTACAATACACATTGTCGGCGGAATGAATCAGTAAGGTACGCTATGCACAGAGTTGCCTGGTGCTATGCTATTTAGAAAGTTGTCATAGGGCTAGTTGAGCTGACGAGAAAACTTCACGCTTAATGAAAGACGAGTTGCAGTGCGCGCATATACCCAAGGTTTACGGACTCAACTCTCGTACCAACATACAATGAATATGAACAATCTACAATATATCGGAGCACAGGATAGGCTCGAGCGTATTATCGCGGCGAACATCACCATATGCAGCAATACGGGTAGAGGACCCGCGGTGAAAGCCGGCAAAACTGCGGGTCTGGCGAAAATTTGGCGAAGAATCTGGCGACAGAGATTTCACGTGCACGGCCCCGATTACGTGAGTGCCGCTGCGCACGAGCCATGAACGCAGGTTTAAATACAACACTTTTCGGCGCCCCCCTCCTGCTCTTTTTTTCATTAAGACCATGTTCGCATTTCCCCCTCCCCCCCTACATTTTACAACCACTAACAACGCCGCAGACTTCATAGAATCATTTCTAATAGTATGCATCTCTCTCTGAGTTACTCTAAGTAGCCACAGAATCTCCAACCTGGTTGATGACTGAGAGCCTCGATGTCCCGGAGTGAGGCCTTGTTTACGATTGCTTCGGCAAGCGTGGCGATGATCTTCAGCTGACTGGCTGTGTACTTCGGTCACACTGGAAAGCAGGACGTTGATGGCAATCTGACAGGCTTTTTGTTTTTTCATTGGTGCTTCTGGGCTAGTCCAGTTCATTGAGGAAGGAACACATGACATGGCGATGGAATACTTGTGGAAAACAACGCGTAGAAATATTACAGTATAGCTCTATCAACAATGCCCTGCTCGCTGTGCTTGCGCATCCAATCTAGTATGCTGCGACGTGCATGGTTCAGCACCACGCGTATTTCTCGTTGGCTACCCAGTCCATCTTATCCGCTACCGGGCCTTGGTGCTCCGGAAACCACCTGAGGCTTGGGACACTATCGACGTCCCTGTGAACAACATTGGCACTTGGATGCAGCTTCCTCGCAGCTGCAAGCGCCGTGGCTGAAGGCGACCACATCTCTACCTTCTCCATCTTCCACTCCTCTGCTTCTCGCTGCGCCATGGCCAGCAAGGCTGCAACGGCATCTTCGTGGCTATCATCTCGAGCTGTACCATTGCCATGGCTCGACGAACCCTCCCAACCACCATCTTCAATCACCAATCGCAGAATGTACAGCGTGTTGCCCTTTGTATCTGCCGGGTCCTGATTATACCACATGCGCGTCCAGTAGCACCATACGCGCTTGCCCTTTTCCGTGCCTACAACGGCGCCCTTGATCTGGGGCTTCTTGCTATGAAGCTCATTCCCCACAAATTCTTCGCGCGCATGGTGCCAGCGGATCGTCTCGATATTGGGAATCAGAGCGACAGCTGCATTACTTCCTTTTGGCCGCGACTCTAGGTCTCGGCGGACAAGAGCCACGTCAGTCTCGCACAGGTCTTGCAGATCTTGTGCATAGAGCGGTCGCGCTGTGGGCAGGCTGCTGGTGCCTTGGCTAACGGTACCGGGAATGGAGACGTGCGATGATGAGAAGGGCTCCCAGCCAAAGGTGTTGTAGAATTTCTACCGTCGTTAGCTGCTGACGAGTTTGCCTAGCAACAAGTACACTCACCTTTCCGATATCCGAATAGAGTACCGAGAACAAGCACTCTGTGCCGTCTTCTGTCTGATATGTTTTCAATATCTCACCCAGCTCGGTCATCATCCTCTGTGCATAACCACGCTTTCGCAGGTGGTTGGCGCAGAACACGCTTCCGACACCGTGACAGATGACTTCCTTGAGCGTGCCCTCTTGCCATACCCACGCCTTCTTTCGGTATGTTTCACAACTCGCCAGTGGTAACCTGGTTCGCGACTGTGGATCGAGCGGATTGTTGGGCAATGAAGTGTCGACTAGGATCCAGTACGAGAGGCCGCCATCACGCGTCATCTCAGTCGCCGCGAGGACATCTTCACGGCGGAGATAGGCTGGCACCTTGAGAGCACCGCACCATTCTTCCGCGTTGAGCTTGAATTGGAGCAATTTCTCCGCATCACTAGGGTGGACGAGTGCCAGGGAGGGAGAGTCGCTTTTAGGGAGGTTATCGGTGATGGCCATGGTTGCTAGTATATTGTTTTGCAAAAAGGACCGAGTTGTGATATGGCCTTGTTCTTTATAACCTTCACTCGTCCAGCTTCCGCTACCTACTTGTCAAGCTGTCGTAGGGCGTCGAAGGCATGCACTCGGCCCAGTTCCCATGCACGCTCGAAGCAGGGACGATACCGTACCGAGTAAGCAGTGGGCCCCCGGGTGCGACAGATTGGCTATGTCGGTATCAAATGACGGAGTGCTAGGCAGGAAAAGGAACTCGTTGTCGGTGGGTCTCTGTTTAGTCCAGAACACCCCGCGTCCCCGTGGCTCCATTCCGCCTTGCTTCTCCGTCCAAACTTATAGCCAACCCCGGATTCTCACAAAGACACTCGGACGGGTACGTGACGTTGGGCGGCCCGTTGTATGCCGTGGCAAAGCGAGTTCGGATGCCACTGCTTGCCATGGGTCATGTGCAGCCGTCCGATTGGCGAGTAGCATCGCATCTTGCATGGAGCCGGTCGTCTGCTCACTGAGAGTTACGGGCTAGTGTCCGCATTCATTGTTTATTCATTGCCATCATGGCCATGACTGGCGGTTGAGCATTGCTTCTCATCGGTCCAGTACAACGCGAGCGCAGGCTTGTGACAATGCCTCGTCATTAGCGGCAGTTCAGCCTCGCTAGCCTACTACTGTGCCAGCCTCAAACCATTTGTGCCATCGCCAAACCAAAACCGCCGTCTCTTGACCACCACCGTTGTACCATTGCTCAAAGTCGGCATGTTTTGTCTGTCGCGCTGAATGCTGGCTGTGCTGTAATAGCCGTGCATTCAAATGTGCTGTCGTGGCACGTAGCTCTTGCTTCAACTCACCTTTCGGTGGTACCATTGCCCGCTTCCGCTGTCCCTTCCGCGATAGCCCCCCTAACCCCAGGCCAGCTTACATCTAGAATATTCGCACCACTGCACACTGCATCTCAACCCGAACCTTGCGCTCGCTCTCGTCGTTTTTTCTCTTCTTCTTCACATTCACTGCACACTGGCTGTGGAAGACGCTGAGGGTCGCCAAGGTGCCTGACAAAGGCGTCCGACAAGGCTGCCTCCAAGTGAAATTGAACTGGTCTTGTTCACGTAAACGCTACGTACATATGCCCCTCGCGGTCATTTCCCTTCACCAGACCACGTAGATAAGTACATATTAATGTCTATCACTTGGTCCTCTCCTGAGACCTTATACACGGATTCGCTGTCGCTCAATCTGAGCACTGCTCTGGTAACTACACATTGCGAGTTCAGCCTTTAGATCCACCACCACTTCACCCAATCTCTCCTATATGCGAAAAAAAACCAGACTCCTTTGAGATTTGAGATTTCAATGGCTCCACCTGGTTTTCGCATGAGTCGAGAAATCGTCGTCCTCTCTGATAGTGAAACAGAAGATGAGGACCACACAAAGCAGGAGTCGGGGGATCTCATTGCAAGACCGACAGCAGGGCCCGCGCAGAACAACCCGCGCATTGACGGAAATATTGCAGAACCCCGTGGAGGCGTACCAGTCATTGATCCCGAGATGATCGACTTGACTGCCATCCCAGATATTGATGTTCCGCCGTCAAATCCCGTCGGGTTACAGGGCAATGTACCGCAGCCCGATGGCCAAGCTTCTGACCAGAATGAACATAGCCGTATGCTTACCGAGACTGCCTATCTGCAAATGATTCTCGGCGTATTGCCGGACATTTCGGTTGAGTATGTGCTCAAGCTCATCAAGGAGAAGACAACAGACGCCACACGAACAACGGCCCGATGCGAGCATCTCATCGCCGAGCTTCTAGAAGGCGAACCATACCCAAAAGAAGCAAATGAAAAGAAGAGAAAGCGAGAAGACGACGCCGATCATGAGCTGAGCGGCTATGAAAAAGGCGAGCGTGACCCACAGGCTCATGGTTATGAGCACGACGCGTAAGTACCCATTCACAGCTGCTTTAGTGCAAGTAGTATGCATACCTACGTGTAAAATCCGATTCAAGAAGTGCGACGTTGCTTCTAGACAGGGCTTCAAGTGCGCTTTTTGTAGCAATACATGGAATCATGAAATAATCACTGTAGACACTGCACTCTAGTCATGGAACAGCGCAAGACTGGCACTCTGAAGAGAGAAGAAGCAGTGCTTTGATAGCGCAATGCTACTTCGTTGCTTCGTCATACTGACAACACACTCTGCAGCATAGAGCTCCTCAAGGATGAATTTCCCAACGTACCTGTACGACATATTACGATCGTTTTGCAAGAAAAAAAGACACTTTACAAAGCTTACTTGGTTATCGAGAAACAAGTGCGCGACTACGGACTCATTGCTGGGCCATTTACTAGAATCACCAAATCCCGTAACAAGCGCGGCACCGAATTTATGTTGATCGAGAAGGGCAGCCAACTACCCAAGGAACTTCACGCAGCAAAGAAGAAGATTGAGTTTGAAGCTGGTGAGTGCTTTTTGCAAAACCAACCAACAAGTAGATCATGCCTAGGAGTAAAATCACAAATGTTTAGTTCCTGGTGTAGTGTCCAAGACCATATTCTCTGGCTAACAACTGCCAGCAAAACGCCGCAAAGTACAGGAAGCAGAACAGGCGGAAGAGGCCAACCTACTCGACGCACAGATGAACAACCTGATGGGCGAGTGCGCGTGCTGTTTCGACGATGTACCTCTGAACCGCATGATCGGCTGCAGTGGCGAAATGGTGCACTTTTATTGCAAAAGGTGCGTATGCCGACAGATCGAAACGCAAATGGGACAATCGCGTTGTAGACCAAATTGCTTTGGGGTCGATGACTGCGACGGGACTTTCTTACGCAGGCAATTACAAGATGTGTTGAGCGAAAAGACATTTGAACGACTAGAGCACATGCAGCAGATGGAAGACCTGAAAGCGGCCGGCCTGGACTTTCTTTCTGAATGTCCGTTTTGCGATTTCAAAATGGAGTGTCCGCCCGTTGACGTCGACAAGGAGTTTCGTTGCCAAAACACCAAGTGTGGAAAGACAAGCTGCCGCCTCTGCCAAAAGGAATCCCATATCCCACTCACTTGCGACGAGTTCAAGAAAGACGGTCAGATTACGCTAAGACATATAGTTGAAGAAGCCATGTCGGCAGCCTTGATCCGTCATTGCAACAGGTGCAAGCATCCGTTTATCAAGGAACAAGGGTGTAACAAGATGACGTGCACACATTGTAGGAATCTGCAGTGGTGAGTTGGAGCTCTGGATTCTCAACAAGAACGTACTGACATTGCTTCAGCTACGTTTGCTCTCAAAACGTGACCGACTATAGACACTTTGGTGATGGCCAGGCAGGCAAGTGTCCTCTGCATGAAAATGCCGAAGAACGTCATGAACAGGAAGTCAAGAGAGCAGCTGACGAAGCTATGGCCAAAGTCCGAGCTGAAAATCCAGGCTTTTCAGATGCAGATCTCATGATCAAGGTATCCGACCAGGTCAAGCAAGCAGAGGAGACACGCAGAGGTCGAGTGCGAGCCGAGGCACACGCATTTCCTTATCATATGGTTGGTGACCAGCTCCACCGTGTTCCACGTGCTGGTCAAGCAGGTGCACCGCAACCTCTAGTTCCAGTCCAACAGATACCTCCACCACAGCCAGCACCTCAGTACGTACACCCCCGCCCACCCGTTTTCCATGCTCCTATTATTCGACAGCCGGAACAGCCAATCCCATATCAACCAATGTTTCCTGTCCAACCCATCAACTTCTACGGTGCTGTTCCACCGCGGCAACCATATGAATTTCAGTTCTACCACCCTTTCTTACCACAGTGTCGGCGCTGTCATCTGAATCATCCCCCTGACCAGCATTGTTAGACCTCAAGCTTACGTTGCCCTTCGGAACTTGTTACGCGATCGTGTCGTTCCGGATGCAGTTGGGCATGTCCAACCAGGATACGATATAGCTCGTTTGCAGGCACATATAGATGAGCTTCATCAGGCGACCGAACTAGCGCGACGGGCACATGCGGTCGAGTTAAACGATTTCATGGTGCAGTTGGCGCAGAGGCGCCGCAGAGAATCTCTTGAAGGAAATGCGCGGAGATAGCATGGTTTGCGATGCGGGATACTTTTTTTTAATTTGCATTGGGAGATATTTTCAGTAGTTATACCGATTAGCAGCATAGTTTATTTGAGTTTGAACCTATATAGCATCAATACTCAACACTTACACATTGCTTCTTACTAACCGCACTACATTACCTGAACATCCATTTTCTTGTTGCCAACAGCCTCTATCATGCTGCAGCAAAACCCATGCCACGTGATCCAGCAAAAATAATCCAAAAGATGCAAAAACATACGACAGCGGGGATTCGCTAGTGGTCACCCACCTAACTACTAATCCGCCGGTAAACTGCTTATATATGCCAGATCGGACGGGATGGCTAGCTCTCAGTTTCCAATGGTCGTATGTGCCAGAAAAAATACAATAGGTTTAATTTATTTGCGAGTAACTCGTTTTTCTGTACTTGGGAAACCAGTTTCCACCAAGACTACTAGCTCACAGCTAGCTTCTAGTACAACTTCGCACAAATCGAGTAGCCATGTAGTATACAAGGTTCTGTAGACGTTTAGCCATTCACGAGAGAAACGGAGAAACTTCAAATTCGAAAAAAAATAGCATGAATTACTCCATATACGTACTTCCACATCACTCCCCATAATCCGGACGCCAGCGGAAATCCCCCCTCCATCACGTGAACATTACGCCCCGCGCTGCTTACTATTGGCACCCATGACTTCAAATGGAACAGCCAAACATGCTCCCTTTGCCGTCTCTTCCGCTACCTACTATCCATTCTCTCAAGTAAAAATCAATCATCATAATATCTCACATGTTAGCCACCATATCCCCCAACCTCGCCCGTTGCCTCTTCCACTACCCACCCGTGTGGGGCTTCCGCATAGCGTTTCGTCTTGGCATTACAGCGGGATATCTTGGGCGTAGTAGTCTGCGCACTGGGTTTAATGGGTACTTTGAACTTTGCCGGTTTTCGCGTTTGAGACTGGGGAGAAGGCGGGGTTGAGATGGAGGGGAGTCTTGTGTCAAGCGTGTAGGTGTGGGACGCGATTGCTTTTTTGTGAAGGAGTTCTGCGAGGCTGCGAAGGGCTGCAATTGTTCGAGTGTGCGTTCGACTGGCGGGTTTGGCTGGGTGGCTTCATATTACTCTTGGGTGTGTTGGTGTTGCTTGAGGGTGATGCTTATGGACTTTTAGGCTGGGCTTGATTGTAGTTGCGAATGGAGGATTATGTTGGTGCTTGGTGTTATTGGTGTTACATCTTTCAATAAAAATGGAGTTGGGAAGCATGCTGAATATACTGCTTTCAGATATTGCAGTGCTGTTAGTGCTTGCCCATTGGTAGAGAACCCGCCGACGGCAGGCAGGGTCATGGCTTGCATGGAATTGGATGGTTGGCTGAGAAGAACACCCTTCCTATTGATAATTTCGACAAACACATGTTCGCTAGAGTGATGGACGTCCAAATCTGTCAATTCGATTAAGCCATAGACTGAGTACTACAGTGAATTCCTGTGACGACTTCACACACACATTACCCCACCATGGCAAACATAGGCTCAAAGAGTCACCCGCAATAGTCCACCGACTGTTGAACAGGTTGTCCAGTAAAACTTGCGGTGCTGGCGAGCATATTCTCTTCCCTGTTGGGATGGAGTGATTGCGCCGACATCGCCGCATGATGCAGGAACGGAGGTGGCGGGGGGCTTGGTTTGCGCGTGGCGGGGCAACGGAATGACTGCGGCTGCCTGTGATTTGAGCGCAAAGGCCCTGGAAACACAGTCCTTGTTCGTTCAGAAGAGGCGATGGGGGCAAGTAAAGGAACTTTCCATCATGCATCAGCCTAGACGCCTCGTGCATGCGTTCTGGAAGCTGACGGGACGGGGGCATTTGAGTGGTTGAGTCAGTCAGCGATTCCGGAGCTACAACAACAATTTTCCCCATGGGGACCATGACTCTACATTGTCCCCAAGTCAACATCTTGACTTTTTTACTTTTGGTTTTGTTGGACGATTGCATATATTCAATACCATGTCTTCACATACAGCATCGCAGCGCTACCTGAGCACCCGTGGTGGCTCCTACGACGTAAGGTCAGCGCAAACCGTGGGCGCACTCGCATGCTAACATGTGCAGTTCTCATTTGAGGATGTTGTTCTCAAGGGCCTCGCTGCAGACGGCGGTCTGTTCATCCCTGAAGAGATCCCAACGCTTCCCGAAGACTGGGCGTCCAAATGGAAAGATCTCTCCTTCGAAGACCTCGCCTTTGAAATCTTCTCCCTCTACATCTCCCCCTCAGAGATCCCCTCCGCAGACCTGAAAGACATCATCCGCCGCAGCTACTCCACGTTCCGCGCAAAAGACGTCGTCCCAACAGTCACACTCGACAAGGAGAAGAACATACATTTGCTTGAGTTGTTCCACGGGCCTACATTCGCCTTCAAGGATGTTGCTCTGCAGTTTCTCGGTAATCTGTTCGAATACTTCCTCGTGCGCAAGAACCAGGGCAAGGAGGGCCGCGATAGGGAACATCTGACGGTCATTGGCGCTACAAGTGGTGACACTGGTTCAGCCGCCATCTACGGTCTGCGTGGAAAGAAGGATGTATCCGTCTTCATCATGTTCCCGCATGGCAAGGTCAGCCCTATCCAGGAAGCACAGATGACGACCGTCATTGACGCCAATGTTCACAATTTGGCCGTAGACGGCACTTTCGATGATTGCCAGGTATGTACAGAAATTCCGAAATACACAACACTACTAACAATATCAGGACTTTGTAAAGGCCCTCTTCGCCGACCCAGAAATCAACAAGACGCACCGCCTCGCCGCTGTAAACTCCATCAACTGGGCCCGCATTCTTGCGCAAATCACCTACTACTTCTACGCCTACTTTGACCTCATCAAGAAACCCTCCTTCCTCCCCGCCTCCACCGTCCGCTTCGTTGTACCAACCGGCAACTTTGGCGACATTCTCGCTGGCTTCTTCGCGAAGCGCATGGGCCTGCCTGCTGAAAAGCTCGTTATCGCAACCAACGAGAACGATATCCTACACCGTTTCTGGGAAACCGGAAAGTACGAGAAGCACCCTGTGCACGGCAAGGAGGCCGAGGGCGGCATCCCAGCAGACGGTGCGAAGGCGCACGAAGGCGGAGTCAAGGAGACGCTGAGCCCAGCCATGGACATTCTCGTCTCATCAAACTTTGAGCGTCTGCTGTGGTTCCTCTCGTACGATGTCTACAGCACAAACTCGGATGCTGTATCGCAAAGGAGAAGTCAAGCAGGCGATCATGTACGGAATTGGCTCAACGAGCTCAAGTCTCAGGATGGTTTTGCAGTAGACAAGCAGATTCTAGAGGCTGCCAAGGCTGACTTTTCCTCGTACCGTGTTAGCGATGAGGAGACCATTGAGACCATCAAGTACGTCTTTAACGCGGAGTCGTCTAAGAACTACGTCCTTGATCCCCACTCGGCTATTGGTATTGCGGCGACGCTGCGCTCGGTACAAGTGTCGAAGCCTCCTAGCACACACCACATCGCGCTTGCGACTGCGCACCCGGCCAAGTTTGCCAATGCGGTTGAGCTCGCACTGCCGGATCAGAAGGAGTACTTCCAGGCCAAGGTACTGCCGGATGAGTTTAAGGGACTTGAAGACAAGCCCAGGCGAGTCAGCCATGTCAAGAAGGCTGAAGGGTGGCAAGGCGTACGCAAGGTTGTTATTGCAGAAGTAGAGGCGGAGCGACGGGCTGCTGAGGGCGTGTAGTAGAAACATATAAGAGGTTGTGGTTTTACATGGACGGAGATTATATTTTGGATAGACGAAATACTGGACACTGGATACTGAGTACAGAAATGGAGTTGGTACACGCTTTCATCATACTAGTCACTGCTGAGGTTATCATTGTTACATGGCTATCAAGCGTATTCCACTTCTATCCTTTTCATTTTCAGTACCTATTTCCGCAGCGCATCCTCTACCTCCTTTCCCCCCTCCTCCTCTACCCCATCCCTCCGTCTAACAACCTCACTCTCAAACCCCAACCCAGCCCTCTGCCTCAAAACCCCATACACCGCACTACTATCCGCCCTCCTCCCCCTCTCCTCCGCATACCCCCTCGCCCCCTCCGCAGCCTCAAGATACATCTCCCCTATCTTCAATTCCACGCCCCTTTCCCTCGCAATCGCAACCCCATGTCCCACATCTTTAATCCCGAGCCCCAACCCCGACGCCGGCGCCTGCCCCACAGCAGGGAGATACGAACCTGAAGTTAGGCGCCGCGACACGCCGAGTGCATACGCGCCAAAGTTTTCTTCGATAAGGGATTCGAGGGTGGATGAGGGGAGTCCAGATGACTCGGCTAGAACGTGGGCTTCGGAGAGCAAGGTCATGAGGCCTGCGGTGATGAAGTTGCTAGTGGTTTTGAGGAGCATGGCTTGTGAGGCTTCGTCGCCGACGTGGAGTACGCGGCGTGCCAGGACGCCTTTGAGTAGTGGTGTTACACGGGTGATTGCTTGGGGCGGTCCGGCTACGGCGACGAGGAGCTGGCCTGCGATTGCGACGGGAGTGGCGCCGAAGACGGGGGCGGAGATGTATGAAGCATTTTTCTGGGCGAAGGAAGTGGAGATAGTAGTTGTGGTGGAGGGATACACCGTGGTTGTGTCAATGATAACTTTTTGGGAGAGAGGGCCGCTGGATTGGATGATGGTTGCAAGGGTTGTTAGGGCCGTGTCGTCGCTGACCTGGGGATTTTCAGTTATATTCTTGTACGGAAGATGAGTACTCCCTATAGAGGAGAGTGAAATGGGTACTATGTACAGATATGAAAATGACATTGCAGGTTTGGACTAGATCGGCCACTGTGGCACACGCCATGGCACCAAGCTCTTCCAACGGCTTGCCTCGTGAGAGTGTTCGATTCCAGTATTTTAGCGGCGGATAAGCGTCTGGATGCTGTTGTATGTGTTTTTGGATGTTGGTTGCCATGGCCAGACCCATTGACCCTAGGCCTATCCAGCCCACCCGCAGTTGTTCTAACGAATCCATCTTGAAAGAAAATGGGTTGGTAAATCTGGCTCGAGTCTTCCCTTCACAAGTCTTTGAAAAAGGTAGTCAGTGGAATGGTAAGGTGACTCAACTATGGTATACATACTCATGAGTTAGTGCATTGCACTAGTGTGCATCAGGCAAGAGTAAAACGGATATCCGACGAGACTCGATCCTTCCGACCATCTTTGAAAGAGTCAGTAAAGCATTACTCCGGAAAGCAACATGACTCGGCTACTAAACATTTCAATTTCTCTAGCCAAAAAATACTTTGTAAGACTAAAGGTATTATACACCAAAGACAAACTCAAACTCCGGGCTATGCTGGTATCCAATAATTTTGAGAGCCAGATACGGAACCAACTGAGTAATGATACTATGCTCTGGCTCTGGCTCTGGCATACATGATATAATCACCTCAAAGGAACATCCTACTCCTCATCTTCGTCATCATCAACCACACGTCTCCGCTTTGTCCGGCTAACCACGACTTCGTCATCGTCATCGTCGTCGTCTGCTGCAACAGCCCCGCCCCTGGCTCTCTTCGGACTTGGCGCAATGCCTTCATCTGGGTCGTCGTCGTCCTCGACAATCTCCGGCTCCTCGTCGCTGGCAGCGATAAAATCATCCTCCTCGTCATAGTCGTCCTCGCGATTCCTCCGAGGGCCACCATAATCTTCATCGTCGCTCCAGTCACGCCGTAAGCCACCACCCTTTCTCTGTTGCTGTTTCCTAGGAGCGCGGTCTTCCAGTCCATCAACATCGAGTCCGCCTCCTGATGCTCGTCCGCTGCTGCGGCCCATGGTGCGGTTGGCGCGCTCGGCCTGGCGGGCTTCGTGCTTCTCGCGGGCGCGCAGTTGCCGCTGCTTCTCTTTGAATGTGGCTTCTTCGCGTTGTCGGCGTAGCTCGGGATCTTCGTCTACGTTGATAAAGGAAATAGCCTGGTCGGCGTCGTCTCGGCCCTTGGATGCCACCTTTGCAAGATCGTTTTGCAGCTTCTCCAGCGCAGCATCTTTTGTGTTTGCAGCGGGAACCACATTTAGGGATGCAGTGAGCTTGTTGGTCACACGCATAACATTGGCCTCTTCGTAAGGGGCCACGAGATATGTGTAACTCTCCTTCTTCGCGCTCGTCTTGGTGCCGGTTTTGTCTTCCCTGATTGCTGTGGGGGTGGGAATCTTCGGGTTTATCTGCGGTGGTGCAAGCGTGTTGGCGTCGATGTCGAACTGCACGGTAGGGTCGCTGGCGAGTTGCAGGGTAAGAGAACCGTCGGACCACCTCAGGATGCGAGCATTCGACTGCAAGACAGCGTTGTTCGAGGGTGAGCGCCGCCATCGGATGGTGGTCATGGCAGTGTGGTAAGCAGAAAAGTGTTCAGACGCGCCGACCTTGGAATGGTGATCGGTGGTTGGTGGTTGGAATGTCCTATGGTCAAAGGCCTTGTCCTCGAAGGAAAGGAAGCGCGGGACCTTGAGCAGGTAGAGTTCATTGTCGGTGGGCTCGGGGACTGCATGGCGCGCAAGGTCTGCGTCCATGTATGCAAATGTCTGTTGCTCGACTTCCTCCACAGCCTCTGCTTGCCTGACGCGATCGTTGCGTCCTTCGTCGTCACCGGAGTCGAGCTCGGCATCGTCGAGCTTGCGCTGCTCACTGTGACACGTCAATTGGATGTCGCATACCATTCTCTACCGCGACGTACGCTTGCGCATCGTGTGCGTCTTCCTCGGCGTCATCGTCTGCGCCGCCGTCGCCAAAGAGGTCGTCGTCGTCGTCGTCAAGGCCATTATCCTCGACGGTATTCAGCGGCGTGCCTCCCTCGCCATCGTCAGCAGGAGTAGCATGGCCATTGGCCTCGTCGTCGGACAGGGTTGGATCGTGGCCCGCGTCGGACATGGTCGCGACAGATGGCGGAGGCTGCGTTGCTTGCGAGGCGCAGAAAGACGGGCGTGTCGGGACGTGTCGGGGCGTGTCAAGGCGACGGTGAAGGACAAGCCGAGCAAATGCCACACGTGATGATGGTTCAGCAAAGGACGGCGGAGGACTGGAACGCAGCAGCTGCACGGCTTCAAAGTTCCCAGCGACGCCAGCAGCAGGCCGTGTACTGGGCGCTATACCGGATGCGGCAGTAGCGCCCCGCCCCTTCTCGACGCAGGCCCAAGGGAGTGTCGAGTGGGCCCAAAAAGCGTGCCCGCTTGAGACGTATCACCACCTCCTCCCCTTCAATTCTCTTGCATACTCCTCAAGCCGGCCCTCTCTAGGTGCATCCATAGCTCCCGTCTCGCCGCTTGCAGCCCCTGCACGCCCACAGCCAGGACCCCGCAAACAAATGGCTTCTTTCTTCGCAAACGTGTAAGTTGCTTGGCACTTGCTCGCCCTCGCTCGAGTGCTCTCTCCCCTTCCCTCTAGTACAGTCCAAACACTCCCCCTCCCTGGTATGTTTCAGGCAAATCTGCTGCATATCCTCATCCGGCTTCAATCTCGCCATCTCCACCTCACTCTGGGAAGCTGCGACTTGGTCACTTTTGGCCTCCCAATTCCCGCCCGCCGAGGCTCCAAAGGTGTTTCCGTCTTCTAACAACTTCACCGATAGTCGCCAAGGACTGGCCGGCCGCTCCAGCAAAGGCCAGCAAGGCAAAGGCGGCTCTTCGTCACCAACGGCTTCATACTCTGCTTCGCCAACTTCTCAGCACGCCCCAAACCAACCGCCTATGCCTGGTTCGCCTGCTCTGTCGTCCAACATGTCGTTCGAAGGCCCGCCATCCGAGGGGTCCGTGCCATCTGGCTCTCGCAGACCGCCTTTCTTTTTCCGCGAGGAGTACTCCAACTTGATTGTCAAGGGTAATTTCATGACGCTGGCTGCAAAGCCCAAGCTTGTTGAGGAGGGCGAATGGCTCGCTCATCAAGGTAAGCTTTGCCACGTGTGAGGTTCGGCCGGAAATGGCGCTAAAAGCATGTGACTAGTTGTCGAGCAGTACAGACTACTGGAGCAAATGATTGAAGTCATTAAGGTAGTCGACGACCGGACAGGCAAACCCATCTGTAACCCAGATGTCTGTCCCACCATGTCTGCCAGTGGTCACACATATACCTGGCTTGACAACAACAAAAAGCCCATCAAGATCCCCGCCATCCAGTACATCAACCTTGTACAAAAGTGGATCGTGGGTAAGATCAATGACCCGAACATCTTCCCTACAGACACCACCGCCATCTCAATTGGAACGACAACCTATGCCTCTGGATCCCTTACTCCCAACTCGACACCGCAGCCTCTGGGACCTACGTCCCTCAACCAGCCCGTATCCCAGCTGGCCGGACGCGAGTGGCTCGGCAAGTCATCTGGCTTCCCCGAAACCTTCGAGGGCGACATCAAGAGTATCTACCGCCAGATGATGCGGTGCTACGCCCACATTTACCACGGCCACTGGCTGGAACCCTTCTGGAACGTGAGTGCATACAAGGAACTCAATACGTGCTTCATCCACTTCATCAACGTCGGCAAGCTGTTCAACCTCATTGGCGACAAGGAGATTGAGCCCATGCAGCCGCTGGTCGACCTCTGGGCGGAGAAGGGGCTGCTTCCTCCGATTACTGCTGCCAAGGAGAATGCTCCACCTGCGTCTTGAAGATAGTTCTGTCTACTACTACTACAATTACTTTTTTTGAATTCGTCAATCGACCAAAGAATAAGCATGTGGGTAGCCCCATTTGACATGGAGGCCCCTCACCCCAAAAATGCACACGAGGCCGTCCATATCTCTGCATTGTACATGTAGCGCGAAAACCGAGTCAAAGGCGAGGATGATGATGATGACAATGATTGGCGTTCTGGCATGTCTTACCTTACCATTTCCGCAATGTGAGCCTTGGAAATAGCATAGAGCAAATGAAACTTTTTTTGTCATACTCATCCATCTTCATCTTCATCTTTTGATACAATCAATATCAGGTCACACGACACATGAAAGGCACAACGACAACGAGGACGACTTAGTAAGAAGAGGTTCAAATTTGATAGTACCACGCAAAAGCAACCAAACAACTCTTGTCCCCCAACCATAACCCCCCCTAGAAACGCAATGTCATAGCCCCATTCCACACACGCACTCACAAAACTCCAATGGTGACACAGACCAGAGAAACCCATTGTCTCCACTCCGCTCCACCATTTCCATTTGACATTTTCATCACCAATGCAAATAACACTTCATGGGTCCGTGGCATGCGGGACGCGCGTTCGTTATGGAGATGCCTGGGCAGGGACAGGCACTTGACATTTTTCGTGACTCGCTACATTACAGCTCGCCCCAGCGGCGAACTTACTGGTGACCGGCCTTGCGGAGGGAGTTGCTCAACCACTCGAGACCCTCGTACAGACCGTCACCAGACGTGGCGCAAGTCGACTGGATGTACTGCATCGGGTTAGTGGGGACGCCCTAACAAAGTGGGTCTGCTTGCAACTTACCCAGGCACGTTGTCGGAGGCTGTGGAGACCAAGCTTGTCGGTGATTTCAGCAGCGTTCATGGCGTTCTGTCACGAAAAGGTTAGCCATTGTGCAATTGCGAGACTTGCGAGCGATGATGGAAGGGCTTACAGGCAAATCCTGCTTGTTGGCAAAGACAAGGAGAAGAGCATCCCTGAGCTCGTCCTCGTTCAGCATGCGCTGGAGCTCCTCGCGCGCCTCGACAACACGGTCGCGATCGTTGCTGTCGACGACGAAGATGATACCCTGGGTGTTTTGGAAGTAATGCCTCCACAGAGGACGGATCTTGTCTTGACCGCCGACATCCCACACGGTGAACTGGATGTTCTTGTACTCGACAGTCTCGACGTTGAAACCTGGAAAAAGGGGGCACAAAAGTCAGCGCACTGCCCTTCGCAACGGTGGCCGTATGCAGCGCAACATACCAATGGTTGGGATGGTGGTGACGATTTCACCCAACTTGAGCTTGTAGAGAATCGTGGTCTTTCCGGCAGCGTCGAGACCGACCATGAGAATACGCATCTCCTTCTTTCCCCATAGCTTGTCGAAGAGCTTGGAGAATGTGAGACCCATGACTGCGGTGGGTGGATGTGCGAGTGTGAGGAGGGTGAGTGGGAAGGCGGTGTATAGACTCTCGAACCTGTGGCGCTAATTGTCAGGACGGTATTGAGAAGAAAGCGATGGCGTCATGGGCGGAAAGGACATGGCACGACGGGCGTGGACCTCGCTGGCGCAGAAAGGCACTGGGAGAGCGTGGCCTGTTGCCAACCCCAAGTCGCAGCCCGGAGGAAAGCTGGCCTCGGAAGAGGCGACGTAGGGGTAGAACAAAGCAATCACAGGAAAAAACAAGGCGGCGAGGGACGACTTACGGCTATGTTCTTGAGAGTCGGTGGTATTCGGGGATGGGGCGGGTGGATGTGGATGTACTCTAATTGATGCACAGGAAGGGCTGCGTTGAAGAGATGTGGTGGAAAGCGCGGCGAATGCTGGGCACTGTTCGTAAGCTGGTAAGTGCCACTACCGCCGGCACGTGACAACTATCAGCGATCGCTTATCTGCGCGTGTTCAAGGACTTGCGGTGAGAGGCGAGCGTCTCCTTTACATTCTTGGAACTGCTCTTATGCACCTGCTCGCATCTTGACACGTTTTGGCTCTCCTGAATGTCCAGAGCGGGAATTCAGGCAGCCATTGGCCTCCGCTTGGCCGATCTCCTCAGCCGCCCCAGGATTGCGTGAACTCCAGGACCCACACCTATCCGCACTACACTATATTCATTGACGGGGCATTCCTGTCCTCGAGAGCGCTGCATGGCGACGATGCATATTGCAACCCTTTTTGACGGCCTCGTTGTTTCCATGCCCGCCAAACCTGTCCCACCAGTTTCGCCGGCTGCATGGCGCTATTGTGAAACCACCTGCCGCTACCCAAGACGACAAAAACATCCGAAAATTGTCCATTTGTAGCAACGTCGCACAGTCGCCTTAGGCAACAATGTTTTGTGCAAGACAACATCAGTGCATCGTCAACTGGACACGGTTGTCATTGTTCCAAGGCAGACATAATTGACACCACTGCTGTTCCGGGTTTCCCCATGTTCTCTTCTCCCACCATGCGCACCATCTCCCTGTCTGCTTGTTCCACCTCACATCGCCCTGTGCACCTCTTTTGCCTTCCTGTCACTCACAACCACTGCAGCTTGAATGAAGACAGGCAAGCACATCGAAACACCCATAACCCAGAGCCCGCCGCGAACAACTGAAGTCACCGAAGTAACCGCGAGCAAACAACTCACTGTACAAGCAAGTCGAACAGCAAGAACCGAAACTGCAAAGGCGTTGAGCACGTCCTGTGCCAGTCCAGCCATGTTGCCCACCACCACTGCTGTAACGAAAAGGGGAAAATTCTGCCACCTCATTAGATGACTGACAACCCCTATTCAAAACTTCGTTCAAGACTTGCCTCCATCCCGGCGTGATAGCACCTACACATACGCATGTACCTGGCAAACGACTCTGGAGGAACACGCTGCTTCAACTGCGCTTTGGTATCCTGAGCATGTAGATTGCTGCTGTTTTCGGTAGGTAGCCTACCTCTAGCAGAGATGGCGCGAGCAACAGCGTGAGGCATCATCGAGACTGCGAGTATCAGCATCGTAATAATGGAACTCAAGTATGTATGTGAGAGGGGGCGTATGCTTACTCATGAAGTGAACCGGGATAGCTAGGATGGACATGTAGCCGTTAAGGTGGGGCAACATTTTGCCTGGCCAGTTGTCGTTGTCGATTCGGTGTTCAGTGGGAGAAGAAGAAGAAGAAAAGGATGAACATTGCTTTGTAGAATGTTTGCCCATTTGAATCACCTAGAGCCTCCTTCCTGGTACGGCGGGTGACTTGTGTAAACAACATTGCGTGTGAGAGCGAGAAGTGACGAGGGAGTCGTGCTTTCCAAAGAGAATGCGGTAGTAGCAGTACGCTCCAAGACACGAAAACACAACAAGACACGGTGAACCTGACTACATTCAAGTCTCTCAAGGTAAATGTTTAAATGACAAGCGATCCAAAACTTCATACATCCTATCATCACCACCAAATTCCATGCACCTCCACTCCACCTACTTCAAATCCTTTGTCCTCTCCTCACTCTCTCTGATCCACTTATCCAACAACTCCCTATTCCTCGGCTTAAACCCCACCTTAAAATACTTGGGCTCCATCGTCAAACTCGTCGGAAGCGCATTCGCCTCCAGACAATCCAGAACAGGCTCATCTCGCGGATCAACCGGGGGCGTAAATTCAAATGCAGAAATTAGTCTGACAAATGCAGTAAACAGCTCGCGGTTCGCCAAGTGAGAGCCTACGCACATGCGTGAGCCGGCGCCGTACCCGTAGTGCGGTGTTCCGGCGCCGTCGGGAACGTTGAGGTAGCGCTCTGGATCGAAAGTCTCGGGGTTGGTGAAGTGAGACGGGTCGTAGTTGCCGGCGTAGGCGTTCATGTAGAAGGTAGTTCCTGCAGGTATGACGGTGCCGTTCCATTCGATGTCTTTGATTGAGACGCGGGGCAGGGAGATGGGGATGACGATCCAGTAGCGTAGGATTTCTTTGTACAAGGCCGTGATGTAGGGCACGCGTTCTTCGTCGAGGCAGCGCACCCAGGCATCGTTGTCGGGGTATACTTTCATGATTTCCTCGTACGCGCGTTGTTGGATCTTTTGGCCTTTGGGGGTCGCTAGGTAGGCGATGCCCATGATTAGGTTGCCGGGGACCGTGTCGAGGCCTGCGGAGACCATGGAGAGACCGATGGAGGTGATTTCGGCTGGTGGGTGTGTTAGTGAATGCCTGGTGTGGAGAAATAGAAAAGGGCTTACCTCTGTTTAGCTTTGCTTCGGGGTCTTTAAGGATGTTGCCGGTAATGCATGGTTTGTCTGTGCCGTTCCCGATCTTCTCTTCCAATATGCTGAGTAGCTTGTCCATGTATACGTCTCGTCTCTTTCGGAAGTGCTCAGCCTCATTGTTTTTACTTGGAAGCAGCCTTAGCAACGGGATGTAGTCTTGCCAGTTGTTGCTTGTCGACCTGAGTGATCCTATGCCCCTCTCGACATCGACAATCTCCTTGAGCAGCGGTGCGTTCTTGTTGCCATCAATACGGTATCCGTAGTTCAGTGTCAAAGACGTGTTCAAAGCGTATCGCTGCCAGTATGCTCGGGGATCGAGATCGACTTCTCCCCCTTTACTGTCTTGGAGAAGTTCCTTGATAGAGACGGTCGATTCGAGGTCGATGAGGGGCATATATGACTGTACAGCAGGTCGGTTCAGGGCCGTCGCAGCTGCCTTACGGCGGGCTTTACAGGAGTCATCCCATGGGGAAGTTCCAATTGTGAAACCTTGTGAGGAGGAGACGACTTTATGGAAGGTATGGAGCATAGGCCGTGAAATCATGGCTGCTTGGTTTACGATCCAGAGATGACGGATGGAGTCGAACGAGTTTGCAAAGACGATTCTCTGGGTCTTCGTCAGGCTCTCTACTCTTGAGACGAATGGTGATCATGCTAAGGACCAGTACTTACCTTGTTTCCCATCCTCACCTGGAAGACAGGGCCATACTTCTTCGCCCATTGTTGTGCTACCTTTGGATGGTTGGTGCCAAGTTCGTACAAGCTTCCAACAAGTGGAAGTCCAGGGACTTCGGGTAAGCCTTTGATGTGTGGTTTGTCGGTTCCATAGAATAGTCTCCACAAGAAGTATCCCAGCACTGCAATGCCGGCTGCGTAGATAGGGATCGTCATGGTTGTAGCCAAGCTCAACGTGTGAGAGGAATAGAATAGAAAAAGAAGGGAACTCGCGAAATCTGTGAGACGAAGGACATGAAATATAGCTTGCAGCAATACCTATAAGATGGAGCTTGCCGATATCCAGCGAGGCTTCGCAAAACTCAGGCTTGGAGAAGACCACACCTTAGCCTCGGTAACATAATCCCTCGTCTGACTGGACAAGATTTTTAGTTTAGTTACGCTCCAGTAGTCCACCAAAATGGAGTTGTTACACCAATTGTCAAGTCAGGCAGACGATCGTGTTCAGTCAAGGCGGAATAGGGCCGCACTTTCCGTGCGGGGAGGCGCGATGTAGGGTGAGGTCATCGTGTACTAACTAAATCAGGAAGATTTCCTGAACACATCTTGCCGACAAGTATTGGAGGCTAATACTTAGCAGATTGACACATCATGTTTGGGACAACTGCCAAGAAGGGAACTCGTATATGCCTGTACGTACAACGACTTGACGAACGCACCATGCACGATTTACAACATCCCTGCTTAGGTGCGGTACACCGCTTACTCATGCATACGCTCTGTTCAAGTATGTTTAGAAAAAGATAGATATGGAAGGTTCCCTTATGCGCAGACCTCGCAATGGCTCTACTGGTTGAAGACAGGGACAGGTAATGCATGGAACATAAGCTATATCTCCCGAAAGAGCCTACGCAAACTCTAATTTCAAGGCAGGTTCAATGCGGCCCACGCATTCGCCAAACCCAACAAGAGCTTCTTCATCATTGCCGCACACACCTCGAATAGTAACCTCATCACCATCCTCGAGGAATGTTCTCTTCTCTCCTTGAACTGCGATAGAATCTTTGCCGTTGTTACTCTGCTCTAGGAAGCTTCCATATTCAGCTGGAGTAGTACCACTAATGGTGCCAGAGCCCAGCAAATCACCGGGCTGAAAGGGGCATCCGTTGACGGTGTGGTGTGTCAACATTTGTGGGAAGGACCAAAGTAAGTTTCGACCATTGACTCTGGAAACCGTAGCATTGCTGCCAGAGGATGCTGCTACGTGTTAGCCAAGTTTGGTCTCAGGGGGCTCAGGAGTGATAGACATACTCTTGAGATCGATTTGAAGATTAATATCGTAGACAGTCTTGTCGTTCTTCTCTCTTAAATAGGGCAGTACTTCAGTATCATTCTCGAGGCCTTTTGTCTTGAATGGCTCCAATGCATCAGCGAGTACAACCCACGTACTGATGGTTGTGCCAAAGTTCTTTGCATTGAAAGGTCCCAACGGCACGTACTCCCATGCCTGGATGTCTCTGGCTGACCAGTCGTTCATGAGAACTACACCGAACAAGTTTTCTTCGGCCTTTTCAATTGGTATTGGCGTCCCTTGCTCGTTTGAGCCACATACAAAAGCTCCGAGCTCGAGCTCCATATCCAGTTTCTTACACGGGCTGAATGTAGGTACCCGTTTCTCCGCAGTAGGATCCAATAATATCTGGCCATTGGGTCGTCGAATTGGGGTGCCCGAAGGTACGACTGAGGATGCTCGGCCATGATAACCGACTGGCAGGTGCTTGTAGTTTGGTTGCAGAGCCTCTTTTGGGCCTCGGAAAATAACACCGCAGTTGTAGGCATGGTTCAGACCCGCAAAGAAGTCGGTGTAGTCGCCAATCTTGAAGGGGAGATGGGCACGAACGTCTTTGAGGGGTAACAGAGCCTGCTTTTGAAGAGCAGAGTTGTTCTGAAGGACATCTGGGTAGGTGGTGTCCTTGGAAAACACACTTTGTATGTACTTGCGAACGACGGAATGGACGGGGCGGCCGAGTGCAGCGAATGCATTCAGTGAGGGCTCTGAGAAGACGGCTTGATGAGGCTGAATGAGGGAGAGGGCCGAGAAGCCATTGCCGGCTGCAAAGGCCTCGAGATCTAGGGCATGGTCTCCAATGGCAACTGCGACTCGTGGTTTTGTGGACGAGGCTGTTGAAATGACGCCAAACGGAATGTTGGCTAGTGAAAAGTGCGAGCCGCGAGGTATGGCAAACCAAGATCGCAGTGAAGCCATTGCAAGATGTGTGGTATGATGTTTTGTTCGGGTAGCGGGGATGATTGAATGCAGTACACTACATGCAGTGCTGACTACTCTACAGGTCAGCTCCAATGCGTCGATGTAGTACCGTACTGCCTCGAGAGCCTCGCGAGGATGATATGCAATTGAGCTGTCGGAGTTTCCATTATCAGGCGCGCAAGGATTCCTTGCATACTGACAAAGTCATAATGTCAGCCGCATGAGGACCCTCTTGGTGGATGCCGTGCTTGTGGTCCGCTGTCGGCTTGTGACGGATCGGGATGGAGGCGGACAGGCGGGCCCGGAAAGATTCCGTCATTTGCCTGCGGATCGCCAGGTTGGATGCCCCGCCGCCCGTGGGCTGTGGGGTAAGCCGATGTGAAGGCTCACCACTACTCCGCTTTGATCTTCTGATGCCATAGACAGCGGAACCAAAAGCCGTTCATTGCCGCATCGTGCAGCGCAGCCATGGCCGAGGGGCAGCTTGATGCTTCCTTCACTAATGCCGTGGGGCCGTTGTACATAGATTCAAGAAGACCGCAGTGGTAGCGTGCCGCCGGGTCGACGCGTACATACGTAGTCTTTTACTTTTCGACAGAAGCAAAGTTGAACAATTGACCCGCCTCTCACAATGCCGTCTACACAGTTCGCTTTCAAGGAAAAGTACCGGTACCAGAACGGCTTCAACTCGTACCATGAGTACGGACTCCCAGTGCTGCCCCGCTTAGTACAAGCTAACGGCATCCCAGGTCCGAAGCAGTACAGGGCGCCCTCCCTATCGGTGCAAACTCACCACAAAAGCCCCCGTACGGCCTCTACGCCGAGAAGCTTTCTGGAACCGCCTTCACAGCCCCTAGGCACGAGAACCAGCAAACATGGCTCTACCGTATCTTGCCATCTTGCGGCCACAGTAATTTTGAGCCCCGTGAATCCACGACATTCAACACAAACCCCGAGAACAAGCCATGGGAACGGATACACTATATCCCAAACCAGCTCCGATGGGATCCTTTCGACCTCGACGAGACAGTAGACTGGGTGCACTCTCTGCACCTGGTGGCTGGTGCTGGTGACCCCACAATGAAGTCGGGAGTCGGATACTTTATATACGCTGCAGGAAAGGACATGGAGGCCAACGAAGCATTCTACTCGGCTGATGGTGATTTTCTCATTGTCGCCCAGCACGGTGTGCTGGATATTCAGACCGAACTGGGCCGCCTTATTGTACGCCCCAACGAGATCTGTGTCATACCGCGTGGTATTCGATACCGTGTCACACTTCCTCAAGGCCCTGTGCGAGGATACATTCTAGAGCTATATCAGGGGCACTTCACCCTCCCCGAGCTTGGGCCTATAGGCTCCAATTGCCTTGCGAATGCGCGTGATTTCCAGGCGCCAGTGGCCGACTTTGACGAAGACACAGAGACAGAGTGGCAAATCCTTGCAAAGTTTGCTGGCCACCTTTATGCTGCGAAACAAAAGCATACGCCATTCGATGTCGTGGCGTGGCATGGCCTTTACTATCCATACAAGTACGACCTCGGTCGCTTCAGCACAATAGGGAGCATTTCTTTCGATCACCCAGATCCATCCATCTTCACTGTTCTTACCGCGCCTTCAGACCACGCAGGAACCGCAGTTGCGGACTTTGTAATCTTCCCGCCTCGGTGGTTGGTTGCTGAAAATACGTTCCGACCGCCATGGTACCACCGAAACACCATGTCGGAGTTTATGGGCCTTATTGGCGGCCAGTACGATGCCAAGACTGGAGGAGGTTTCCAGCCAGCCGGCGCATCTCTACATAATGTCATGTCGGGCCACGGCCCTGACGCTGCTACTCACGAGAAAGCATCAAATGTTGAGCTGCAGCCGAATAAAGTCGGCGAGGGTAGCATGGCGTTTATGTTCGAGAGCTGCCTGATGATTGGCGTAACCGACTGGGGCCTAAAGAAGTGCCGAAAGATTCAGGAAGGTTACAACGCGGAGAGCTGGGAGCCGCTGAAGCCGCACTTCAAGATGCCTGGCAAGAAGATTGACAATGGCGTCTCGCCGCTGGCGGCAGGATCAGAGGGCGACAAGGGACAAGTGCCTCACTACACGTAAGTGGAATGAGTGGCTAGTTGTACCTGTAGCGACAAAATGGAGAGTACTGATGGATCTCCTACCGAATTCAGTACAGTAGTGTCGGTGAGATTCGGTTCTAGTGAGGATGCTTACTGCATTAGTCTAGAGCATGGCGCGTCGGCGGTGTTGGACCAAGTGGGCGCGGTTTCATGCCCCGCAGCGAACAGAGTGCAACTTGCCCGCGCGCGCTGCTCGGAGTTTATGAAGATATTTTGTTCATGGATAGGGCGTTTAGATACTGAATTGACATGATTCATGCACAGCACCTGTATGGTCAGACGTGCATACTAGCAGGTTTGCGCCTATCGACAGTGGAGGGGTCGACGTGTCGCAGGCTCGTCCAACTCCATGTGCCGATACGGCGCAGTCCAAGGGTCCACTAGCGTCAACAGGTGTTAGAGCGCGGGGCTATCTTCTCCCACTTTTCTCCTCCTCGACGCCGCTCTCTTATTCTCTTCATCCTCTCTCATCCCTTCTCTCCCTCCCTCTCTCTTCTCTTTACCCTTTTCTTCTCAATTTCCCCCCCTCAATTCACCACACACAACCTTCATCATGTCTGCCCCCGCCCACAAGTTCAAGGTTGCTGACATCAGTCTCGCGGCCTTCGGTCGCCGTGAGATTGAGCTCGCCGAGAACGAGATGCCTGGTCTGATGGAGACCCGCCGCAAGTACGCTGAGGACCAGCCCTTGAAGGGTGCCCGCATTGCTGGATGTCTGCACATGAGTAGGTTGCCTCTGCACATTTGCCACAACCAAAGGAAATTTTCTTGCTAACACGCATTGCAGCCATCCAGACTGCCGTCCTCATCGAGACTCTCAAGTTCCTCGGTGCTGAGCTCACCTGGACTTCGTGCAACATTTTCTCCACCCAGGACCACGCCGCTGCCGCCATTGCCGCCGCCGGTGTGCCCGTCTTCGCCTGGAAGGGCGAGACTGAGGAGGAGTATGAGTGGTGCCTTGAGCAGCAACTCACCGCTTTCAAGGATGGCAAGAGCCTGAACTTGATCCTCGACGACGGTGGTGACCTTACCGCTCTTGTCCACAAGAAGTACCCTGAGATGCTCAAGGACTGCTACGGTGTCTCCGAGGAGACCACCACCGGTGTCCACCACCTCTACCGCATGCTCAAGGGCAACGGTCTCCTTGTCCCCGCCATCAACGTCAATGACTCCGTCACAAAGTCCAAGTTCGACAACTTGTACGGTTGCCGTGAGTCGCTTGTCGACGGTATCAAGCGTGCCACCGATGTCATGATTGCTGGCAAGGTCGCCGTTGTTGCCGGTTTCGGTGATGTCGGCAAGGGTTGTGCCCAGGCTCTCCACAGCATGGGTGCCCGTGTCATCGTCACTGAGATTGACCCCATCAACGCCCTCCAGGCTGCCGTCTCCGGCTTCCAGGTCACCACAATGGAGAAGGCTGCTCCTCAGGGTCAAATTTTCGTCACCACCACTGGTTGCCGTGACATTCTGACTGGTGCTCACTTTGAGGTTATGCCCAACGACGCCATTGTCTGCAACATTGGTCACTTCGATATCGAAATCGATGTTGCCTGGCTCAAGGCCAACGCCAAGTCAGTCACCAGCATCAAGCCCCAGGTTGACCGCTACCTGATGAAGAACGGACGCCACATCATCCTCCTCGCTGAGGGTCGTCTCGTCAACTTGGGATGCGCCACTGGCCACTCTTCTTTCGTCATGTCCTGCTCTTTCACCAACCAGGTCCTCGCCCAGATTATGCTTTACAAGGCATCTGACGAGGCTTTTGGTAACAAGTACGTCGAGTTCGGCAAGACCGGCAAGCTCGACGTCGGTGTCTACGTTCTGCCCAAGATCCTCGACGAGCAGGTTGCTCTTCTTCACTTGGCACACGTCAACGTCGAGCTCTCCAAGCTCACTGACGTTCAGGCCGAGTACCTCGGTCTCCCTGTCGAGGGTCCTTTCAAGAGCGACATCTACCGCTACTAGATTTCTTTTTGTGCCGCGTTTGGGAAGTTTCAACACGACGTTATGATACCACTTCGAAAAAAAGTTATTTGTCTTCAACGGCATAGCATCGAGCCTGGGGCTCGACGGGGTCCGGTTGTTCAAAAGGCGTTGTTTTGCATATCATCTACTTGACCCTTCAACCATGGTCAGGATGAGGATGATACCCAGTGTAAGAGTGTGATATGGAGATGATGAGTTGCGTTTCTGCACGCAGCCTAAGATTAGTTAACAAGTCTACCCGTTCAAACGGAGACTACATAATTCAGAGTAACGACGGGCCTCCATACCCGCCTCTGGCTTATACTTTGTTCCTTTCAATGTGCTTGTAATGTGATGTGTGCTGGCTCAGATGTTGTAGGTACGTGCGCAGATTCGAAGCATGCCTCACCGATACGCACCAGGCCGTTTGTGACAAGCTGGCATGTGCAACCAGCCTCTAACACAGCTATCATGCAAATCCGAGGCATAGTGCAATAAACAACTGCAGCTAATGCAAAAATGTATATATTGTAGAGACAGACCGCCGCGCCGCCTTTGATTCCTCATCCGACCTGCTACATCCTTGTATCCCTCGATCACGTTGCAACTAATACATGCACTAAGCAGTATCTAGATATTACCTTATCTTATTGAATGTGGAGTGTTTTGCAGATAGGCACAGAATATATCACTTCGAGTAAATTGAGTCGAATCCTAGGGAAGTTACCCAAAGGTGCGGATGGAACTATACACTCTATACATGTGACTGTGGCTTGATTGCCCCGACGGGTACCCGATGGATCTCCGAGGGTTAGCCTTTCTCGGCCTCCAGTTCAGAGCATCGTGACATTGAAGAAGAACATGATAACTCATGTGGCGTCTAAAGGAAAAGATGGGCAGGTCTCACAC